ACAGTGGTGCCTCGCATTACGATGTTAATTCGTTCCAGTGAAATCGCTGTAGAACGAAAACATCGTAAAGCAATTTTAAAAAGCCCATAGAAACGCATTAAAATCCAATTAATGTGTTCCTATGGGCTTGAAACTCACAGTCCAGCGAAGATCCTCCATAGCGTGGCCATTTTCGCTGCCCATGCAGTGAGGAATCCGTCCCAGAAAACAGCAAAAACTTTGTTGTTATGCGATTTCGTCGTAAAACGAAGCGCTCGTCTTGCGAGGCACCACTATACTTTGTTTTTACAAAATTGCTTGTTCTTATAAGTTGCTTTATATAGAGGGAAGATCAGAAACAAGCCTTAAAAGAAAGTGGGGAGGAGGAATCTGTGGCCCTCCCTGCGTTGGACTGAAATTCTCATGGACATCAACCCCAGAATCGCCAGCACTCAGGCACGATGGGAAGTGCAATTCACATTTATTCACATTTCTCATTCTTCCTTGTTCTTATATGCCATCAAGACGCCAACGACTCATGGTGACACCGTGGATGAGCAATCTCCAAAACGCCCTGTTCTCAATAGCCCTGCCCTGCTCTTGTAAACTCAACCTTGTGGTTTCCTTTAGGGTGTCAATCCATCTCATATTGGGGTCTTCCTCTTTTCCTACTACCTTTCATCTTTCCCAGCATCATGGTCTTGTCCAGAAAATCCTGCCTTCTCCTGATGTGCCCCAAGTAGGACATCCTCAATTTCACCAGTTTTCCCTCTGTAGGTAGTTCAGACTTTATTTGCTCTCGGACCATTTCTTTCAGAACAACCCATAGCTTCTCATGATCCACATGGTCAAGGGCTTTCTGATCTTCTTCTGATACCCTTTGCTGTGTTCCAGTAGCCAGCACCTATCTACGATATGGTCTCCAGTGGCTCTTCCTTTTCTCAATCCAGCTTGAACGTTAGGCGTTCTTGCTCCGTATAATGAGCTTCGAGGGTGGCAGAAAGCAGAAAGAGAAACTGAAACTAGAGGGGAAAAACTGTGTAATCCTTATGCACAATCTGAAAACAAGGATGGGTGGTACCTTTTTGAGACCACTAAAATCTCTCGAGACAATACCCAGGGTGGTCTAATGGATAAAACGACAGGCTTGGGCTCAGGGTTTGAATTTGTGCTCAGCCATGGAAACCAATGGGGATAAATGGAGCAGGTAAATGGCATGACTGAATTTACCTTGAAAGCCTTATTAGGGTTGCTACAAGTCGGTTCTGATTTGATTGTTTTCTCGCTTGGATGGGGAAGTCCCTGGTGGAAGACCAAGAAAAGGAGACCACTCTGGTGCAACATAGTTGTATGGAAGTTACGAGATAACACGCTAGTGGCTGTCCTCCCAAGGCCAGCAAAAGCCCTTAACAAAGATCCTTACAAGGGGGGACCTTCTACCTCTTCCTACAGACTACATAACAGCATTAAGGAATGTCAAAAACATACACCCATGCACGTAGGCATGGCAAGAAGCGAGCAACAAACACACAATACTTTTGCAATGTGAAACACTTCCGTATGACTGGCTGTTCCAATGTCACCCTCGGAGATGTAGATTAGAAAGTTCCTCACAGTTTTTGAGAGTGTCCACACTGGTCTAGAGATGATTGTACGGATGGCAGATGGCATGGTTTGGATTGGGGGGGGAGGGAGAGGCCTCATCCATAAATGTTTGCATTTAGATTGAGCCGTCCTTCCCCTTTAAGAGCTGTTCCACACCTTTCTGGCCCAGCGGTAGGGCATGCCTTCTTTTTGGCATGATTCATTAGCTCCTTATTTAGCCAGGCAGCTAAATTGTATATTTCTAATCACATAGAGTTGGACATTGGGCTCGGCTGCTTGGCTCACTCCTCTGAGGGAGGAAGAAGAGGAGAAGGGGGTGGCTCAGGTCCTGAGGGAAGCATGTCCCATGTCCTTTTTCTGTGCTGCGACATCCATGAGTTATCTCAATCCCTCGTTGTCTGATCGCCAGCACAGTCACTTGTGCACACCCTGAATAGAGCCTCAGCTTCCAACAACCACCTGTTGTGGCTGCAGATTCGGAGGGAGAGGGAAGAAGGGGGCGGGGGGAGAATGAGGGAAGGGACACAGAGGGGAAAGGAAGGGAGAAAATAGAATGTCAGCGACAGAGGGAGAGAGGAGCGACAGGAAAAAATTTTTCACTTCCCCTGATCCTCTGCAGAAGATCAGGGGAAACACTTAATTGACAGCCAATTGGGCTACAAGAGGTTGTTTGCTGTTGAGACGGGAGGAACAACCAGTCGGGATGGGACCTTTGTCAGACAAAGAGCTGCTCCCCATTGCCTCATATCTGGGAACTCCGCTCCTTTTTACAGAGAGAGAGAGAGAGAGACCGGGGCATGCCAAATGCCGTATCAAAGAAGTTGGGATAAAACTGAGTTTTTACACTTTGGCTAAATTTTTGTTGCTTAGTGTAGTTACTCACTCTCGATTAAGCCCATTGACTCAATGGGGATTTTTTGAGTCAACTCCTCCATTAGTTCCATTGAGTCAAACCAGCTTACTCTAATTATAGCTAGCCTTAGGATAGTAAATCACAGTGAGAGTATCCCATTTGAATTAATGGAAGTTACGGAGCAGTCGATGCACTAAATCCCTATTAATTCAGTGGGCCTACCATAGTGTGAGTTAAAGTAGGACTGCGGTATCCACAAGGAATCAGTTTCACGGATGTCAAAAAATGCAGAAGTATCAAATGCTTTACATGCCATTGTCTCTGGCTTCCTGTAGAAGTCAGTTCTGGGGTTTTATTTAATATTTTCTGACAGCAGTTAAGTGAATCAGTGGATGCTGATTCCGTGGATAGGAGGGTCCTACTGTATCATGTTAAGCAGCAAGATTTTGGCCACTAGATAAGCCAGCTGCAGCTAAATTAAAAATATTAATGAATAGTTAGAGCAGTGGTTTCCAGCCTTGGGTAGCCCAGATGTTCTTGGACTAAAACTCCCAGAACCCTTCACCACTAGCTGCGCTGGCCAGGAGTTGCAGTCCAAGAACATCTGGGGACCCACTCATAGAGAAAGATATTGTTAGCAGTCTGCAGTAGCATCACTCCTGACTCGGTCATTCCCAGCCTGGTGAGTGTTCCTGTAATGAGATTTTAGTGGGCTAATAAAGATCCCGTCCACCTTTGTCTCCAGCACAGAGAGTGACCTTCGGTGGTCACCAGAATGAATCACGGCTTTCTCCTCTGAATACACCCATCGGTCAGAGCAGAGAAAAGCGACTGGCCGGCGGTCGGGGCTGGAGGATGCATTGGAGAGCAATGGAATCGCGTCTAAAATGGACGTGCAGCCAATCCATGAAAATAGAGATGGACAATCCAGTACAGCGAAATGAACAGTCGATTAGAACAGAAACGGTGTTCTCTATGATAGCTGTTTTTAATGCTAGATATTTCCTCTGGCTTACGGGGAATGTCCTCGTTTTTTAATTAAAAGGGTCAGGCCTTTTTCAGACTTAGGCAAAGAGGTCTCCAGTTCCTCCAGAGCAGTGGTCCTCAACCTTGGGCGTGCAGATGTTCTTGGACTACAACTCCCAGAGTCCTTGACCACCACTTCTGCTGGCCAGGATTTTTCTGGGAGGTGAAGTCCAAGAACATCTGGAGGCCCAAGGTTGGGGACCCCTGCTCCAGACCACTCGGAGTCTGTGTGTCAGACAGGGTACTTCTGTGTGTCAGAGTACCAACCTGATAGGTTCAGGTGTCTGTTGGTTAGCCAGAACTGATAGGTTCAGGGTCTGTGCTTCAAGTTAAGGGTTCTGTGTGAACCAAACTGTATGCTTGTATGAATGAGAGTAAGCCACGTTACTTTATCCTATTCACCTGATTGTTTATTTTTCCCTGTGGGTATTTAAAATAAACCTAATTCTTTTATTGTTTAAAAATCCATCCCTGGTCTGTGTGACTTCTTCAAGGGAATGGTTGGTGGCAGCTTAGTGTAACTGTGTGG